TGGGCTTTTTATCCTCTTGACTGGGCTGTTCAATGTCCTGAATGAGAAGACGAGTCAGCCGATCCGGCAGACTCGACTTGCAGCGAAGAATGTTATTTTTCGTCGGTCCATCAATGACCAAATGACGCACTGTCCGGCCGCGGTGCAGGAAGCGTCGAGCGCCCAGACGAATTTCACAGCCGGTTCGCGCCTCGATGCTGACGAAGAGATGCCGCGTCCGGCGGAGGTAGGAGAGGAATTTCGCCTCTTCCACCAACTCCTGCAACAGATACATCGTGTAGCTCATCCAGCCGGCCTTCTCGCCACCCACTCCTGGCTCGGCGGCCAGCAGCGCCGGAGTGCAGAGCACCTGAACGCCGGGAAACCAATTGTTCAAGTTCGAGTCCCCGCTGTCGCCGGGCCGACGGTAGACACGCAGCGCGGGATGCGCCGACCGGAGCACAGTCTCCTCCGGCTGGCCGTAGCGCAGCCACGGGAAGTGGGCATAGCTCTGGCTCATGTCGGCCAACTGACGAAAGCCGAGATGCAGGCTGCTGACTCGAGCCAGCGGCGCGGACCGCGTCTGCCGGTAGGGCATGGAGACGGCGCGGCTCGGAGCCGAGGCGAGGGGCTCGAACGCGGAGCCGGTCGGTTTGGCGAACGCGAACAGCGAGGCGGTGGGATTGTGCCCTCTCGACAGGCCGCTGATGGTCGTCAGGACAGAGGCCAAGTCGCAAAGTGGTCGCGTCGGCGACCGGCGCGAGTCGACTGGCGAATGCCGCGTCGGCGGCTTGTCGACAAACGGCTTCTTCACCGGCAGCAGGTCTTCGATGTCCGTCAACGAGTCGACCTCGTCGTTGATGGACCGTTGCGCCGAGCTCTGGTTCAGGCTGGCCTCTTCACGCACCGACAGGGAGTCGTAGGAGTCGCGTCTCTCCGAGCGCCACTCCGACGACGAGCTGAAGCTGAGCTCCGCCAGATCGGCGTCCACGTCGCCGTCGGGTCGGATCAACTCGTCCGTCCAAAAGTCGCGCGACTTTTGCCCACCCGCCAGCTCGTCCGCCTCGTGGTTCAGCTCTTCCAACATCCGGTCGAGGCAGACCTCGCCGAACAGCTCGTCGGCCTCCTTCCGCGTCACATCCACCGCCATGGCGCATGTTATTGCATGCTCCTCCGAGGCCGCCTGCAGACAGTTGCCCATTTGTGCGGAAAGACACTTTGGACGATCCTCGTTTTCGCCTACAACGGCCGATCCATCAAGTGGACGGACGCCGTCAATGCTCCGGCTGTACACAACCACTGGACGCAGGCACGCTCATTTCGTCCGATTCCCGCCTGCAAGACCCACTTCGACGCGGCAAACTCAAATTGCACCACATTATTGATCGCAACAAAGGTACTGCAGGATCGATGCGCTCTGTGGCGTCTCTTTTGCAGATGGCGTCTGGAAGGCGGAGCGCAAGCTGCAAGGATTGGGGTCGAGACAGTCGTGAAGTCTGGTGGCTGTCGGGGCCAGAGGACGAGAGAGGCGATAGAATTGTTCACATGGCGACAAGAAGGTGGCAACACGAAGCTCCGCTTTGTCGTCGTCGCAGGTGGGCTGAACTGGTCCTGCTGCTCTCGGCAAGTGGAAGTGATGAGCGAGGATGCTTTGGCCAATCCGACTGATTGAAGTGGGTTGCTGTGACGACGAGAATCGCCCGCAATTGTATGGAATCCAGGAGCCGGCGGCCTTCGGGAGGGGCGCACAAAAAAGGGTTTTCTCAGATCGACCTACCGAGTACGCGGACAAAGCAAGACTTGATGTAGATTACATTTGCATTTGAATAGCATTTGATGCCATCCGTAATTGTTGAATGAGAACTCAGTCAGATACGAAGAGAAAGTTGGTTTCGATGACTCTCATGAGGTGACATGTTAGGGGACCTTTATTTCAAATGAAAGTGCATGAAGAAGAGATTAGTTGGTCGATCTTATCCATCCTATCCAGTCATACCTAATCACATGATACATGCTCCAGTTTCCTATTAGTGGAAATAGGTAAATCACGACGTCTACCAAGAATGCAGAATTTACTAACAAGTGTATGTGAATACAAAGATAAAGTTAGTTTCGATAGATCTTCTTAGATATCATGTTATGGGACCTTTATTTCAAATGAAAGTGCCTTTAGAAGAGATAATTTTGT